TGCTGGGTGCTCTGGTGGTTGCTCGGGGTTGGAGCCAGCAGACTTCCTGCATATTTCAGCTGTGAAGTGCCAAACTAAGACAGAGAGGTGCAAGTCAGAAAAAACAAAATCCTTCTCCATGGAACATTAGGACCTCTTTCGAAGAGATGTTTCCTCCTAATGATATAGAGCTCCACTGCACGGGAGCTCAATCTCTGCCTCGCAGACCAGTCAAGTCCCTAGCTTTCTTCCTCTTTCATCGATTCCTTACCAGTGTGAGGGTAGAAGCCGGCATTGACTAGTAGTATTTCACTCATTTTATTCATATATATATGTATGTGTGTGTGTGTGTATATATATATATATATATATATATATATATATATCTGAGAATCAAAACCAGTGCCTCACACATGCTAGGCCAGTGTGCTACCACTGAGCCACGATCCAAGCCCCTGTTTCACTCATTTTTATTTTGGATCCAGGACTAATGGATATTCCAGATGAGCATGGATGTGGCTGAGGAGGGGTCTTAGATCCCAGGAGTTTCCCAGGAGCATTAGGTGTCTGGGAGATGGCTAGATGCCCCCGCAGGGATGACTGGCTAGGAGGAGGAGGCAGACTCATGGACTGCTGGGAGAGAGGATTTCATCCCAGGCACACACTTGGTCAGAGACCCAAAGAGATGATGGCCTCCCCAGAGAGAAAAAGGAGCATCTCAACCTGAATTAACAGAGGATTGTCAACACTAAAACAGAACAAAGGCACAGCTTTAGGGCAAAGAAGACATACATGATTGCCCAGGGAGGGAGTGGCTGAGGGCAGCATGGGCTTAGCCATGCAGGGTCCACAGCCTTGTTATGTAGCACAGACTGTACTGCAGGAGGAGGGAAGACCAGAGATAGGATTGTAGTTTGGGAATGAGATGATCTGTGTTAGTGTGTGTGTGAGAGAGTGGGGGGAGGGAGAGAGAGAGAGAGAGAGAGAGAGAGAGAGAGAGAGAGAGAGAGAGAGAGAGAGGGTGTGTTTTTCTCTGCGGCTGTATGTGGAGAACATATCAGGGGAGACAGGTATGAAGTAGCGGACAACCCAGATCAAATGCAGCCTCTGAGGTAAAGAAGGTCTCCCAGATAGAGGTTTGCAGGTGGCTCACAAGAGCACCTGGCCAAGAAGGGCTCATGAGAACTAAACCAAGCCTACAGGCATTGCCAAGTCCAGAGCCCTGGCTCAGAACTGGGTCTGGCCAAGGAGAGGCATTCATTTCTCACTTGCTCAAAGGCATTGTTTTCCCTTCTTCCCATTATCTGCATGGCTTGAAGAGGGAACCTTGATTGGTGTATATTAAGGAGCCTTCTGGGCCCACAGAGGCCCAGGAAATGTACTGGTGGCTTGAGTTCCATGAGGTGAACAAGACAGTGAGACCTGGACCCTAGAGGGCAGATATGGAGGAAAATAGATTGACTCAAATAGGAATGAACAGGGAGAAGGATGAAATATGACGGGCAGGATTGTGGAGAAAAGATCTAGGAGGATGCTAGGGAGAGGCCAGATATGGAAAGATCAGAAAATCCCTGTAGGTGCTGCCTGCAGTGTCCTCATAGAGATGCAAGCTGTGGAGGACCAGCAGCTATAGTTGAGGGTCCCTACTGGAGGCTGCTGAGTTTCCAGATGTCTGACACACAGTCAGAACTCAAGATGAACGTTATTCACCTTTGATTCTGAGAAGTGTGTGGCTGTTGACCACATGCTTCTCAGAACAGTTACAGACTTAAACCTGATCCATCAACACTTGAATGTCAGCAAAACGTGAACTGGGATTCTGAAGGGGGAAGAGAGGGGAATGGTCCTATTGAGAGTCAGTAAATATCAACCAGTCAGAAAACCAAGTCAAGGTGAGGAGGCTTAGGCACTGTCCCTGTCCTCTGTCTCTTCATATGTGTGGTGGTTTCTGTGTCTTCAATAAAACTATGTGGCCTCAGTGTCTCAGGTGACCTGAAGATGCATCGACCTCTTGACTTTTCTGCTACTGTGTGTGAAGCATCAGCTCCCTCCTAAGCTTGACCTCATCCATGGCAGATCTCCCCCAGCTAAGATGGAAGCTGTAGGTATCCTTGCTCACCACCAGAGGAAAGAGGATGGCTTAGGGCCCAGCTCTGCCAGTGCGTTTTCAGCTTCCATCACTGAAACAGAACACCTGAGACATTAATTTACATAGAGAAAAGGCATATTTGGGCTCAGTTCTAGAGGTTCCATTCCATGCTTGGTTGGACTCATTACTTTTAGTTCTCTCATAGAGGAGCAGGAGGGCAATGGCAGGGAGGTGATGGTGGAGAATACTGCTCCCGGATGGAGAGAAAGAAGGAGGTTAAGAAGAAAGAGGCTGGCGTTCCACATCAACCACTGAGGACACCATCCCAGACCCTGAGGTCTCCACTAGGCCTCCCTCACCTGTTAAGGGTCCCTCTTCCTCACAGTAGCATCATCACAAAAGTCAATGATATGGGTCCCTGATAGAATGGGAGGACCCCATGAACCCAAGGAACCAGCATATCAATGCAGATGCAGGGACACTATGAGCCCAGGGGCTGAGGGGTCACGTCACTGTGACCACTACCTAGAAACACAGGCACCAAGCTGGGTGCCCTGCAAGAAGCAGGAGTTGAAGGTCCACCTGGAACACTGTGCATATGCAACCTGTGAAGAAGAGAAGTCCCAATATTCTGATCTGAGCCCACTCTGCACTATCTTTGGTCGTGCTGGGTATGGGATAGGCAGGAGTGAGAGGTGAAGAGTGGTGATGAGGGCTGATGTGGAACGAGTGAGGAAGAATTCAAAGATCTGTTATAAGTTGGAGACCTCCATGAATTGCTCATTGATTTCTGAAAAAGTGACATGATGTGTGTCATGTAGTTTTATTGGTTTTCAGAAGCAAATATATATTCTTAGTTAATGAGCCAAATTGGCCCTTGATCTCCATGCAGTTGCCCTGACTTCATGGAGGCCACAGCTCAGTGACAGATCTGGACATGGTGGCCTCTGTCACCTCTTTCCCATGCGGTGCCACACATTCGGTCCATAAGCACCGACTTCACTTTCTCAGGTACTTTCTCTTTCTTCACAGACACCCATCCTTTCCAGGGCTTGAACTATTCCAACAGCATCCACCATAAAGATGTAAGGGTCTTTACCTGGGAGAGTGGTTTGGTTGTGGGGATAGTATCTGGAGAGCATGAAATTCACCCTTATGACTCTCTTTCATTACACAAGTCAGTGACATAAAGGATCTTCACAATGCTGTACATAGAGAACAGATTTTAGTGTCTGTCCTTTCGTCTCTTAGGTCCAGCCCTGAGCCTCGGTGCCCCAGAGTGGGAGGCTACAGTCACAATCCAAGGGCAACCCGAGGTCTCAGTTCTACAGTAGAAATCCTCCCAGGACTCAGGACCTGCCACAAAGTCGTGGCTGGGAAGATGCTGGCTAACCAGGCTGCCCTGCCTCTGGAGAGGAGACAAGTCCTTTCTGGCCTGGGTTGCTGGTGACATGGAGAAGAAGACAGGTGCTGGGAGGCAGGGGCAGAGCGATCATTGCAAGGGAGAGGATGCCCACATGGGGCAGAGAAGGGGCAGAAGGTCTGCACTTGAGTCTGAGGTCAGCCTCACTATCCTGCCCTCCTGTAGGCTGAAGTTCAGGGTGATGGTTTCAGGAAGCTGTGTCCAGCCTCCTTCTGACAAGGTTTTTCTTTCCTAGTGAAGGTGCTGCTTTGGCTGAGCCAAATTTGGGGGTGTATTTTCAAATCCTCAAGTGATACCAAAAGGTTGAGACCTTTAAAGCTGTGTCATTTCTGAAATATCTTCATTTGAAGAGTCAGTGCTCCTAGTTCATTGTTGATTACTAAATGATGGGAGGGGTCTCAGAACCCCTTTGGTCCTAGACAACTTGTCTCTGAGTTTGGACAAAGCCCATGAGCGTGGTTAAGGTTTTCTGTGTAGGTGAAGTGAGTGTAGGCCAAGGCTGAATCCCAAAACTGCCCAGGCTGTGGCCCAGGTGTCCCAATGCAGAGAAGTGAGAAAGACCCCTTAACACTGCCTAAGGGGCTGAAGTTTATGGATCAGTATCATGTGGACTCTCTGGTCAGGAGCTCTGCCTCTTGATGAGGGAGACCAAGTATGTGGCTGCAGGCCCTCAGGAACACGCCAGAGACCAGCTCAAGCAGCTGGGAAAGGTTGACAGTCCTGTGAATATCAACACTGACTCATGTCCCACTCTCCCTTCTACAGGGGAGAATCTTTCCTGAGGCTCAAATCTGGAGTTTGTGAACACCTGGGGACAGAGTCTGGGACTAGGCTGGGTGCTAATCCAGGATAATTTTGGGACACTCACCTGTCCATGTCCTCCTCCAGGACCCACAGGAGGGCTCCATCCCCGACCTCCCCAAGTGAACCTTGCCCATGGTATGGGCCCTGGCAGCACCAGGAGGGTGCATCATACCCAGGTCTCCCCATGGAACATCCCCCTCCACCCACAGCCACCTTCCCACCCACCTGCAGGGACAGGGAACTACAGTGAGTGCATTGCTGCCCAATTCTTCCCATAGAGCCACATCGTGCCCCTCTGGTCTGGACTCTATAGCTCCTCCACTTCTGAGCCAGCTCTATTTCTCCCCGGAGTCTGGAATGTGTCCACAAGTGACCCCCATGAGGACATGGAGAAGTCTTTGTTCCTCTCTCATTTTGCATTGGCTGCTCTTCAGTGACATTGAACCCTGCCTGAGCTGGCCTGCTGGGATATGATGATGTACAGTGTCACTGGTACTGCAGTCTAAACAGGACATTTCCATAGGTATCCTGAGACCCAGAGAGCTGCCCAGCACAGACCAGGAGAAACTACTGGCTCACAAACTCAAGCAACCTGTGAGCACATTATCCTCTTGACCTTTTACCTATACAAATGGTCTACACCAATGAACCAATGAATGGAATAGAAGCCCCCATATCCACAACTCGCCATCAAACATGCTGGAATCAGATGTGCACTAAGCAATGAGATTGCATCAATTGTTACACCAAAATGCCAGGGTTTGCTTGTACTATAGGATTGTCAATCAGATCCTGCCTGATACACAAAACAATAGCTCACGGGCCTCCTTCCTGAGCAGATGGGAGACAGTATTTAAATTGAATTGTAGAAATGCCCAGTAGTCTAGAGATTTTGTCAACAAAGTACTCTCCTGTCTTCTGGAAGCCCATGCGTTGGTAGAGGGTCAGAGCCGCCGGCTGTACTATGCTAGTTTCAAGGACAACCTCACTGTAGCCCTGAGCCCTCGCAAACTGGAGGACAGTCATGACCAGGGCTTTCCCTAGTCCTTCACCTCGGTGCTCCAAGGCCACAGAGAGGTGAAACAGCTGCAGTTGCTTCCTCCCTGGGGGGGCGTCCTCCACTGGCAGAGCACCCACTATGCCTGCCACCTGGCCCCCAGACTTAGCCACCCAGAAGCAGGAACCATGGGCGCTCAGGTAGGATTTGGTGATGTCAGCAAGGTCTGTCTGCAAATACATGACCACATACTTCTTCCAAGGGTGTCTGGCCAGCAGCCACAGAAAAACAAGGAGGGTGAAATTAGATCCAAGAGCCAGGAGCCAAGAGCCAGAGACCAGGAGTAGGGCGACGGGCACCCCAAATAAGACCAGGATTGTTTGTGGCAACTTCAGTATGTGGCGGAAAGTGGCGGGGATGTGCTCGACCATTCCTTGGGAGTACAAGTCCAGGACCCTTTTGTGGTCAGTCTCCTGGTATTTGCGGATGTGATGAGGTGCCATGGGGAGAGTTCTGTATCTGCAGTTTTCGCAAGTGACAGCTAAACCTTCATGCACACCTTCTCTGCAGCCCTGTAGGAAAGAGAGGAAGCCATGTGAGTGTCCCCGGCCTCCACAAAACATAGGAGAGAGCTCAAGTCTTTACTGTGGCCATAAGAAAAGCAAGCCACCATCAGTGGGAGGAGGTTTAGGATCAAAAACATCTGACTGTAACCCTGTTTCCTTGATTTCTAGCTGTACATCTTGGGTATGTATTTAATTGCTCTTAGTCTGTGTCTTCACCTACATATTAGGGTTTAATAACATTGCCCCTCTAGGTTTGTTTTGAACGTAAACACCCTGGTGAATATAATGTACTGATATATACACTTCCTTCCTCTTCAGCCTATTTCCCTTTTAGGGCTCTTTAAACTGGTTGGTAAATGCAGATGACACCCTTTAACAATCATTACTCTTGTCCCCAGGCCTTTGGGCCCTACCAAAGTTCCAAATCCTACAGGATTCCTGTTTCCAAAGCAGAAGATTCAGTGAAGCCTCCTTTCCCCAATGCTAAGGATTAGGCTGCTAAGAAGACAAAGGGCCAAGTGAAGCCTTGAGACTCCAAAAGTTGTGAGACTCCATTTCTACACTGAGACAGACCCCCAACCTTACACCCCAGTCCACTCACCTGCTTCCCCAGAGCCAAGAGTGTTCAGGGCAGCCTCAGCCCTCAGCTTCCATGGACGTCCAGGGGAGACTGTCTGGGGCCTGTCCACCTGTGGGTAGCACATCTGGGTGGCCACCTCATTTACTGAGTCATAAACCTTGCACAATCAGAAAACTCAAGGGCAAAGTACTGAGGTGTAACAAGCAGAGGGCCCAAGTCCATTCACCTTCCTGAAGACTGGGAAACAAACCTGTGGGGTCAGCAGGATCTCGACCAGCACAGGCTCCTCACCTTAGGAGGCCTGGCACCCCTCTCCTGTTCCCTTCAGGCTACAGCATCTCTCACCAGCACACCTGGGCCTCTCTGAGGTCCACCCAGGTCCTATTCCACACCTGCTAGGAGTCTGGGGACTGTGCCATTCAGCCTGGGCTCTCTCATCACAGGCAATAGCTCAGGTCTCTGGCTCAGCAACAAGGTACTTACAGCTGGTCTTCTCCCGCCTCAGCTTTACTGGGCCAGGTAAACTCCATCCTCCTTGGCCCCTCCTCCCTTCCCTCCATTCACTCAGCAAAGCTTTTGCTGCAGCTTCTACTCTATAGCTGTCCCTTTCCAGTAGTCAACAGTGCGTCACATCCAGGTGACAGGCTCCCAACTAGGGGGATGCTGGGTGCTCTGGTGGTTGCTCGGGGTTGGAGCCAGCAGACTTCCTGCATATTTCAGCTGTGAAGTGCCAAACTAAGACAGAGAGGTGCAAGTCAGAAAAAACAAACTCCTTCTCCATGGACCATTATGAACTCTTTGGAAGAGATTTTCCTTCTAAAAGATGTGGAGCTCCACTGCACGCGAGCTCAATCTCTGTCGTGTTACTTTACCTCGCAGAGCAGTCATGTGCCTGTATTTCTCTGTCCTCTCATTGATTCCTCAGCAGTGTTAAGCTAGAAGCGAGCATTGGCTAGTAGCATTTCACGCATTTCTTTATCAATATGTATATATTTCAGTTATTGATAGACATTTATTTTCTTTATTTATATGCAGTGCTGAGAATCAAACCCAGTGCCTCACACATGCTAGGCAGTGTGCCACCCACTGAGCCAGAGGCCCAGCCCCTATTTCACTCATTTAAAAAAATATATTTTTAGTTATAGATGGACACAATACCTTTATTTATTTTCATGCGGTGCTGAGGATTGAACCTGGTTCCTCACAAGTGCCATGTGAGCCTTCTACCACTGAGCCACGACCCAAGCCCCTGTTTCACTCATTTTTATTTTGGGTCCAGGACTAATGGATATTCAGGATGAGAAGGGGTGTGGATGAGGAAGGGTCTTAGATCCCAGGAGTTTCCCAGGAGCATTCGGTGCCTTGGAGATGGCTAGATGCCCTCACAGGAGTGACTGGCTAGGAGGAGGAGGCAGACTCATGGACTGCTGGGAGAGAGGATTTCATCCCAGGCACACACTTGGTCAGAGACCCAAAGAGATGATGGCCTCCCCAGGGAGAAAAAGGAGCATCTCAACCTGAATTGACAGAGGCTTGTCGACACTAACACAGAACAAAGGGACAGCTTTAGAGCAAAGAATACATGATTGCCCAGGGAGGGAGTGGCTGAGGGCAGCATGGGCTTAGCCATGCAGGGTCCACAGCCTTGTTATGTAGCACAGACTGTACTGCAGGAGGAGGGAAGACCAGAGATATGATTGTAGCTTGGGAATGAGATGATCCATGTGAGTGTGTGTGAGAGACAGTGTGTGTGGGGGGAGAGAGAGAGAGAAAGAGAGAGAGAGAGAGAGAGAGAGAGAGAGAGAGAGAGAGAGAGAGAGATTATGTGTTATTCTCTGTGGCTGTATGTGGAGAACATATCAGGGGAGACAGGTATGATAGCGGATATGCCGAGATCAAATGCAGACTTTGAGGTGAAGGTCTCCCAGATAGAGGTTTGCAGGTGGCTCACAAGAGCACCTGGCCAAGAAGGGCTCATGAGAACTTAACCAAGCCTACAGGCATTGCCAAGTCCAGAGCCCTGGCTCAGAACTGGGTCTGGCCAAGGAGAGGCATTCATTTCTCACTTGCTCAAAGGCATTGTTTTCCCTGCTTCCCATTATCTCCATGGCTTGAAGAGGGAACCTTGATTGGTGTATATTAAGGAGCCTTCTGGGCCCACAGAGGCCCAGGAAATGTACTGGTGGCTTGAGTTCCATGAGGTGAACAAGACAGTGAGACCTGGACCCTAGAGGGCAGATATGGAGGAAAATAGATTGACTCAAATAGGAATGAACAGGGAGAAGGGTGAAATATGACGGGCAGGATTGTGGTGAAAAGATCTAGGAGGATGCTAGGGAGAGGCCAGATATGGAAAGATCAGAAAATCCCTGTAGGTGCTGCCTGCAGTGTCCTCATAGAGATGCAAGCTGTGGAGGACCAGCAGCTATAGTTGAGGGTCCCTTCTGGAGGCTGCTGAGTTTCCAGATGTCTGACACACAGTCAGAACTCAAGATGAACATTCACCTTTGATTCTGAGAAGTGTATGGCTATTGACCATACGCTTCTCAGAACAGTTACAGACAATAACCTGATCCATCAACACTTGAATGTCAGCAAAACGTGAACTGGGATTCTGAAGGGGGAAGAGAGGCAAATGGTCCTATTGAGAGTCAGTAAATATCAACCAGTCAGAAAACCAAGTCAAGGTGAGGAGGCTTAGGCACTGTCCCTGTCCTCTGTCTCTCCATATGCATGCTGGTTTCTGTGTCTTCAACAAAACTATGTGGACTCAGTGTCTCAGGTGACCTGAAGATGCATCTGCGAATGTGTTTTCAGGTTCCATCACTGAAACAGAACACCTGAGACATTAATTTACATAGAGAAAAGGCATATTTGGGCTCAGTTCTAGAGGTTCCATTCCATGCTTAGTTGGACTCATTGCTTTTAGGTCTCTGTTAGAGGAGAACAAGGGCAAAGGCAGGGAGGTGATGGCGGAGAATACTGCTCCCGGATGGAGAGAAAGAAGGAGATTAAGAAGAAAGAGGCTGGCATTCCACATCAACCACTAAGGACACCATCCCAGACCCTGAGGTCTCCACTAGGCCTCCCTCTTAAGGGTCCCACATCCTCACAGTAGAACCACCACAAAAGTGAACGATATGGGTCTCTGATAGAATGGGAGGACCCCATGAACCCAAGGAACCAGCATATCAATGCAGATGCAGGGACACTGTGAGCCCAAGCCTGAGGGGTCACATCACTGTGACCACTACCTAGAAACACAGGCACCAAACTGGGTGCCCTGCAAGAAGCAGTAGTTGAAGGTCCACCTGGAACACTGTGCATATGCGACCTGTGAAGAAGAGAAGTCCCAGTATTCTGATCTGAGCCCACTCTGCACTATCTCTGGTCGTGCTGGGTATGGGATAGGCAGGAGGGAGAGGTGGACAGTGGTGTTGAGGGCTGATGGGGAAGGAATGAGAAAGAACTCAAAGAGCAGGTCAAAAGTTGGAGATCTGTGGACTCTCCATGAATTGCTCATTGATTTCTGAAAAAAGTGACATGATTTGTGTCATGTAGTTTCATTGGTTTTCAGAAGCAAATATATATTCTGAGTTAATGAGCCAAATTGGCCCTTGATCTCCATGCAGTTGCCCTGACTTCATGGAGGCCACAGCTCAGTGACAGACCTGGACATGTATCCTTTGTCACCTCTTTCCTCTTTCCCCCGAGTTGCCACACATTCGGTCCATAAGCACCGACTTCACTTTCTCAGGTACTTTCTCTTTCTTCACAGACACCCATCCTTTCCAGGGCTTGAACTATTCCAACAGCATCCACCATAAAGATGTAAGGGTCTTTACCTGGGAGAGTGGTTTGGTTGTGGGGATTGTATCTGGAGAGCATGAAATTCACCCTTGTGACTCTCTTTCATTACACAAGTCAGTGATATAAAGGACCTTTACAATGCTGTACATCGAGAACAGATTTTAGTGTCCGTCCTTTCCTCTCTTAGGTCCAGCCCTGAGCCTCAGTGCCCCAGAGTGGGAGGCTGCAGTCACAATCCAAGGGCAACCCAAGGTCTCAGTTCTACAGTAGAATTCCTCCCAGGACCCAGGAAACCTGCCACAAAGTCATGGCTGGGAAGATGCTGGCTAACCAGGCTGCCCTGCCTCTGGGGAGGAGACAAGTCCTTTCTGGCCTGGGTTACTGGTGACATGGAGAAGAAGACAGGTGCTGGGGGGCAGGGGCAGAGCGATCATTGCAAGGGAGAGGATTCCTACACAGAGCAGAGGAGGGGCAGAAGGCCTCCACTTGAGCCTGGGGGCAGCCTCAATTTCCTGCCCTCCTGAAGGCTGAAGTTCAGGATGATGTTTTCAGGAAGCTGTGTCCAGCCTCCTTCTGACAAGGTTTTTCTTTCCAGGTGACGGTGCTGCTGTGGCTGAGCCAAATTGGGGGTGCATTTTCAAATCCTCAAATGATACCAAAAGATTGAGACCTTTGAAACTGGGTAATTTCTGAAATGTCTTCATTTGAAAGTCAGTGCTTCTAGTTCATAGTTGATTACTAAATGATGAGAGGGGTCTCAGAGCCCCTTTGGTCCTAGACAACTTCTCTCTTCAATTTGGAAAAACCGATTAGCATGGTTAACGGTTTCCATGTAGTTGAAACGGGCGTAGCCAAGGTTGAATCCCAAAACTGCACAGGATGTGACCAAGTGTCCCCACAATGCTGAGAAGTAGAAACTAAGGTGAGAAAGACCCCCTAACACTGCCTAAGGCGCTGAAGTTTATGGATCAGTATCATGTGGACTCTCTGGTAAGGAGCTCTGCCTCTTGGTGATGGAGACCAAGTATGTGGCTGCAGGCCCCCAAGAACATGCCAGAGACACAGCTTAAGCAGCTGGTAAAGGGTGACAGTCCTGGGAACATCAGCACTGACTCATGTCCCAACTCTCCCTTCTATGGGAGGGATCTGTCCTGAGGTTCAAATCTGGAGTTTGTGAACACCTAGGGACAGAGTATGGGACTGAGTCCTAATCCAGGTTAATTTTGGGTCACTCACCTGTCCATGTCTTCCTCCAGGACCCAAAGGAGGGCTCCACCCCCAACGTCCCCCAGTGAGCCTTGCCCATGGGTATGGGTCCTGGCAGCACCAGGAGGGTGCACCATACCCAGATCTCCCCATGGAACATCCCCCTCCATCCACAGCCACCTTCCCACCCCTCTGCAGGGACAGGTCACTACAGTGAGTGCATTGCTGCCCAATTCTTTCCATGGAGCCACATCGTGCCCCTCTGCTCTGGACTCTGCAGCTCCTCCACTTCTGAGCCAGCTCCATTTCTCCCTGGAGTCTGGGATGTGTCCACAATTGACCCCTGTGAGGACATGGAGAAGTCTTTGTTCCTCTCTCATTTTGCATTGGTTGCTCTTCAGTGACTTTGAACCCTGCCTGAGCTGGCCTGCTGGGATATGATGATGTACAGTGTCACTGGTACTGCAGTCTAAACAGGACATTTCTATAGGTATCCTGAGACCCAGAGAGCTGCCCAGCACAGACCAGGAGAAACTACTGGCTCACAAACTCAAGCAACCTGTGTGCACATTATCCTCTTGACCTTTTACCTACAAATGGTTCTACACCAATGAACCAATGAATGGAATAGAAGCCCCCATATCCACACCTCTCCATCAAACATGCTGGACTCAGATGTGCACCAGCAATGAGATTTCATCATTTGTTCTACCAAAATGCCAGGGTTTGCTTGTGCTACAGGATTGTCAATCAGATCCTGATTGATACACGAGACAATAGGTCACAGGCCTCCTTCCTGAGTAGATGGGAGGCAGTATTTTAATTGAATTGTAGAATTGCCCAGTAGTCTAAAGGTCTTGCTAAAGAAGTATTCTCCTGTCTTCTGGAAGCCCATGCGCAGGTAGAGAGTCAGAGCATCCTGCTGTACTATGCTAGTTTCAAGGACAACCTCACTGTAGCCCTGAGTCCTCGCAAACTGGAGGACAGTCATGACCAGGGCTTTCCCTAGTCCTTCACCTCGGTGCTCCAAGGCCACAGAGAGGTGAAACAGCTGCAGTTGCTTCCTCCCTGGGGGGGAATCCTCCACTGGCAGAGCGCCCACTATGCCTGCCACCTGCCCCCCAGACTCAGCCACCCAAAAGCAGGAACCACGGGCCCTCAGATAGGATTTGGTGATGTCAGCAAGGTCTGTCTGCAAACACATGACCACATACTTTCTCCAAGGCTGTCTGGCCAACAGCCAGAGGAAAAGTAGGAGGGTGACATTAGATCCAAGAGCCAGGAGCCAAGAGCCAGAGACCAGGAGTAAGGCGATGGGCACCCCAAGAAAGAGCAGGAATGTTTGTGGCATCTTCAGCCCAAGGCGGAATGTGGCAGGGACATGCTCGAACATCCCTTGGGAGAACAAGTCCAGGACCCTCTTGCGGTCAGTCTCCTGGTATTTTCGGATGTGATGAGGTGCCATTGGGAGACTATGTGTCTTCAGTTTTCACAATGACAGGTAAACTTTCATACACGCCTTCCCTACAGCTCTGGAAGAGAGGAAAAAATCATGTGATTGTCCCTGATATCCCCAGAACTTAGGATACAGCTCAAGTGTGTATCAATTTTTGTAATAAATTTAGTTATTCTAATTAGGTATATATGACATCACAATGCATTTTGATTCATTCTACACAAATGTAGCACAATTTTTTATTTCTCTGGTTGTACATGATGTAGCTTCGCACCATATGTGCAGTCATACATGTCCCTAGGGTCATGATGTCCTTCACATTCCACCTTCTTTCTTGCCCCCATACCACCTTTCCATCCTCATCCCTTTTTGCCCTATCAGATTCCCTCCATTTTTTCCATCACCCCCATTATGGAGCAACATTCACTTATCATGAAGAACATTCAGGCTTTGGTGTTGAGGGATTGGCTTACTTTGCTTAGCATGATATTCTCCAACTATTTACTTGCAAAGGCCATAATTTCATTCTCTTTTAATGCTGACTGGTATTCCATCATGTATATCCACCACAGTTTCTTTATCCATTGATCTATTGAAGGGCATATAGTTTGGATCCACAGTTTAGCTAATGTGAATTGAGCTGCTATAAACATTGATGCGGCTGAGTCTCTATAGTAGGCTGATTTTAAGTCCTTTGGGTATAAGTCCAGGACTGGGATACTTGGGTCAAATGGTAGTTCAATTCCAGGTTTTCTAAGGAATTTCCATACTGCTTTTAAGTACGGAAATTCCTTAGAAAACCTGGAATTGAACTACCAAATTGGTTCCACCAATTTTCAGTCCCTCCAGGAATGTATGACTGTCTCTTTTCCTCGACATCCTCACCAACTCAATTTTTTGTGTGTGTGACTTTACTGTGGCCAAAAAAGCTTCAGGCCATCAGAACTGGGAACAGGTGTAGGGATCAGACACATTTGACTAGAACCCCAATTTCCCCCATTTCTAACTGTGCGTCTTGGGTATGTCACATAACTGCTCTTAGTCTGTGTCTTCACCTACATATTAGGGTTTAATAACATTGCCCCTCTAGGGTTGTTTTGAATGTTAACACCCTGGTGAATATAATGAACTGATATATATATAGTTCCTTCCTCTTCAGCCTATTTCCCTTTTAGGGCTCTTTAAACTGATTGGTAAATGCAGATGACACCCTTTAAGAATCATTATTATGTGCCCAGGCCTTTGGGCCCTACCAAAGTTCTAAATCTTGCAGGATTCTTTTTCCAAAGCAGAAGATTCAGTGAAGCCTCCTTTCCCCAATGCTAAGGATTAGGCTGCTAAGAAGACAAAGGGCCAAGTGAAGCCTTGAGACTTCAAAAGTTGTGAGACTCCATTTCTACACTGAGACGGACCCCCAACCTTACACCCCAGTCCACTCACCTGCTTCTTCAGAGCTAAGAGTGTTCAGGGAAGCCTCAGACCTCAGCCTCCAACGGACATCCAGGAGAGACTGTCTGAGACCTGCCCACCTGTGGGTAGCACATATGGACTGTCACTTATTTGCAGAGTCATGAAAGTTGCACAATCAGAAATCCCCAAGGGCAAAGTACTAAAGTGTAACAAGCAGAGGGCCCAAGTCCATTCACCTTCCTGAAGACTGGGAAACAAACCTGTGGGGTCAGCAGGATCTCGACCAGCACAGGCTCCTCACCTTAGGAGGCCTGGCACCCCTCTCCTGTTCCCTTCAGGCTACAGCATCTCTCACCAGCACACCTGGGCCTCTCTGAGGTCCACCCAGGTCCTATTCCACACCTGCTAGGAGTCTGGGGACTGTGCCATTCAGCCTGGGCTCTCTCATCACAGGCAATAGCTCAGGTCTCTGGCTCAGCAACAAGGTACTTACAGCTGGTCTTCTCCCGCCTCAGCTTTACTGGGCCAGGTAAACTCCATCCTCCTTGGCCCCTCCTCCCTTCCCTCCATTCACTCAGCAAAGCTTTTGCCGCAGCTTCTACTCTATAGCTGTCCCTTTCCAGTAGTCAATAGTGCTTCACATCCAGGTGACAGGCTCCCAACTAGGGGGATGCTGGGTGCTCTGGTGGTTGCTCGGGGTTGGAGCCAGCAGACTTCCTGCATATTTCAGCTGTGAAGTGCCAAACTAAGACAGAGAGGTGCAAGTCAGAAAAAACAAACTCCTTCTCCATGGACCATTATGAACTCTTTGGAAGAGATTTTCCTTCTAAAAGATGTGGAGCTCCACTGCACGCGAGCTCAATCTCTGTCGTGTTACTTTACCTCGCAGAGCAGTCATGTCCCTGGATTTCTTCCTCTCTCATTGATTCCTCAGCAGTGATATGCTAGAAGTGAGCATTGGCTAGTAGTATTTCACTCATTTTATTCATTATATATATCTGAGAATCAAACCCAGTGCCTCACACATGCTAAGCCAGAGTGCCACCACTGATCCACAGGCCCAGCACCTATTTCACTCATTTTTATTTTGGGTCCAGGACTAATGGATATTCAGGATGAGCAGGGATGTGGGTGAGGAGGGGTCTTAGATCCCAGGAGTGCCTTAGGAGCATTAGGTGTCTGGGAGATGGCTAGATGCCCTCACAGGAGTGACTGGCTAGGAGGAGGAGGCAGACTCATGGACTGCTGGGAGAGAGGACTTCATTCCAGGCACACACTTGGTCAGAGACCCAAAGAGATGTTGGCCTCCCCAGAGAGAAAAAGGAGCATCTCAACCTGAATTAACAGAGGCTTGTCAACACTAACACAGAACAAAGGGACAGCTTTAGAGCAAAGAATACATGATTGCCCAAGAAGGGAGTGGCTGAGGGCAGCATGGGCTTGGCCATGCAGGGTCCACAGCCTTGTTATGTGCATGGATAGTACTGCAGGAGGAAGGGAGACCAGAGATTGGATTGTAGCTTGGGGATGAGATGTGTGTGCGTGTGTGAGAGAGAGAGTGTGTGTGTGTGTGTGGAGAGAGAGAGAGAGAGAGAGAGAGAGAGAGAGAGAGAGAGAGAGATTGATTGTGTGTCATTCTCTGCAGTTGTATGTGGAGAACATATCAGGGGAGACAGAAATAATAGCAGATACCCCCAGAATCAAATGCATCCTCTGACCTAGAGAAGGTTTTCAGATAGAGGTTTGCAGGTGGCTCACAAGAGCAACTGGCCAAGGAGGGCTCATGAGAACTAAACCAAGCCTACAGGCATTGCCAAGTCCAGAGCCCTGGCTCAGAACTGGGTCTGGCCAAGGAGAGGCATTCATTTCTCACTTGCTCAAAGGCATTGTTTTCCCTGCTTCCCATTATCTGCATGGCTTGAAGAGGGAACCTTGATTGGTGTATATTAAGGAGCCTTCTGGGCCCACAGAGGCCCAGGAAATGTACTGGTGGCTTGAGTTCCATGATGTGAACAAGACAGTGAGACCTGGACCCTAGAGGGCAGATATGGAGGAAAATAGATTGACTCAAATAGGAATGAACAGGGAGAAGGGTGAAATATGACGGGCAGGATTGTGGTGAAAAGATCTAGGAGGATGCTAGGGAGAGGCCAGATATGGAAAGATCAGAAAATCCCTGTAGGGGTTGCCTGCAGTATCCTCATGGAGACATGCAGCTGTAGTTCAGGGTCCCTACTGGAGGCTGCTGAGTTTCCAGATGTCTGACCCATGGTCAGAACTCAAGATGAACATTATTCATCTTTGATTCTGAGAAGTGTGTGGCTGTGACTACACGCTTCTCAGAACAGTTACAGACTTAAACATGATCCATCAACACTTGAATGTCAGCAAAACGTGAACTGGGATTCTGAAGGGGGAAGAGAAGGGAATGGTCCTATTGAGAGTCAGTAAATATCAACCAGTCAGAAAACCAAGTCAAGGTGAGGAGGCTTAGGCACTGTCCCTGTCCTCTGTCTCTCCATATGCATGGTGGTTCTGTGTCTTCAATAAAACTATGTGGTCTCAGAGTCTCAGGTGACCTGAAGATGCATCGACCTCTTGACTTTTCTGCTACTGTGTGTGAAGCATCAGCTCCCTCCTAAGCTTGACCTCATCCATGGCAGATCTCCCCCAGCTAAGATGGAAGCTGTAGGTATCCTTGCTCACCACCAGAGGAAAGAGGATGGCTTAGGGCCCAGCTCTGCCAGTGCGTTTTCAGCTTCCATCACTGAAACAGAACACCTGAGACATTAATTTACATAGAGAAAAGGCATATTTGGGCTCAGTTCTATTCCATGCTTGGTTGGACTCATTACTTTTAGTTCTCTCATAGAGGAGCAGGAGGGCAATGGCAGGGAGCTGATGGTGGAGAATACTGCTCCCTGGATGGAGAGAAAGAAGGAGAGGCTGGCGTTCCACATCAACCACTGAGGACACCATCCCAGACCCTGAGGTCTCCACTAGGCCTCACCTCTTAAGGGTCCCTCCTCCATCAATAGCACCACCACAAACTTCAATGATATGAGTCCCTGATAGAATGGGAGGACCCCATGAGCCTAAGGAACCAGCACCTCAATGCGGATGCAAGGACACTGTGAGCCCAGGGCCTGAGGGGGTCACATCACTGTGACCACTACCTAGAAACACAGGCACCAAACTGGGTGCCCTGCAAGAAGCAGGAGTTGAAGGTCCACCTGGAACACTGTGCATATGCGACCTGTGAAGAAGAGAAGTCCCAATATTCTGCTCTGAGCCCACTCTGCACTATCTCTGGTCGTGCTGGGTATGGGATAGGCAGGAGGGAGAGGTGGAGAGTGGTGATGAGGGCTGATGGGGAAGGAATGAGGAATAACTCAAAGAGCTGGTCAAAAGTTGGAGATCTGTGGACTCTCCATGAATTGCTCATTGATTACTGAAAAAAGTGACATGATTTGTGTCATGTAGTTTCATTGGTTTTCAGAAGCAAATATATATTCTTAGTTAATGAGCCAAATTGGCCCTTGATCTCCAAATAGTTTCCCTGACTTCATGGAGGCCACATCTCAGTGAGAGACCTGGACATTGTGGCCTCTGTCACCTCTTTCCCATGCGGTGCCACACATTAGGTCCATAAGCACCGACTTCACTTTTCAGGTACTTTCTCTTTCTTCACAGGCACCCATCCTTTTCAGGGCTTGAACTATACCAATAGCATCCACACTAAGATGCAGGGGTCATTAACCTTGGAGAGTGGTTTGGTTGTGGGGATAGTATCTGGAGAGCATGAAATTCACCCTTATGACTTTCTTTAAGTTCACAGGACAGTGACACAAAGGACTTTCACAATGCCATACATCAAGAACAGATTTTAGTGTCTGTCCTTTCATCTCTTACAGAGTCCAGCCCTGAGCCTCAGTGTCCCAGAGTGGGAGGCTGCAGTCACAATCCAAGGGCAACACCAAGTCTCAGTCCTACATTACAAATCCTCCCAGGACCCAAGACCTGCCACAAAGTCGTGGCTGGGAAGATGCTGGCTAACCAGGCTGCCCTACGTCCGGGGAGGAGACAAGTCCTTTCTGGCCTGGGTTGCTGGTGACATGGAGAAGAAGACAGGTGCTGGGGGGCAGGGGCTATGCGATCACAGCAAGCAAGAGGATTTCTACGCAGAGGAGAGGAGGGGCAGAAGGCCTCCACTTGAGCCTGGGGGCAGCCTCAATTTCCTGCCCTCCTGAAGGCTGAAGTTCAGGATGATGTTTTCAGGAAGCTGTGTCCAGCCTCCTTCTGACAAGGTTTTTCTTTCCAGGTGACGGTGCTGCTGTGGCTGAGCCAAATTGGGGGTGCATTTTCAAATCCTCAAATGATACCAAAAGATTGAGACCTTTGAAACTGGGTAATTTCTGAAATGTCTTCATTTGAAAGTCAGTGCTTCTAGTTCATAGTTGATTACTAAATGATGAGAGGGGTCTCAGAGCCCCTTTGGTCCTAGACAACTTCTCTCTTCAATTTGGAAAAACCGATTAGCATGGTTAACGGTTTCCATGTAGTTGAAATGGGCGTAGCCAAGGTTGAATCCCAAAACTGCACAGGATGTGACCCAAGTGTCCCCACAATGCTGAGAAGTAGAAACTAAGGTGAGAAAGACCCCCTAACACTGCCTAAGGGGCAGAAGTTTATGGATCAGTATCACGTAGAATCTCTGATCAGGAGCACTGCCTCTTGGTGAGGGAGATCAAGTATGTGGCTGCAGGCCCCCAGGAACACGCCACAGACACAGTTCTGGCAGCTGGTAAAGGGTGACAGTCCTGGGAATATTAGCACTGACTCATGTCCCAACTCTCCCTTCTATGGGAGGGATCTGTCCTGAGGCTCAAATCTGGAGTTTGTGAACACCTGGGGACAGAGTCTAGGACTGAGTCCTAATCCAGGTTAATTTGGGACACTCACCTGTCCATGTCTTCCTCCAGGACCCACAGGAGGGTTCCACCCACAACTTCCCCCAGTGAGCCTGGCCCATGTGTATGGCAGCACCAGGAGGCTGCATTATACCCAGATCTCCCCATGGAACATCCCCCTTCATCCACAGCCACCTTCCCACCCCTCTGCAGGGACACTTCACTACAGTGAGTGCATTGCTGCCCAATTCTTCCCATAGAGCCACATCGTGCCCCTCTGCTCTGGACTCTGCAGCTCCTCCACTTCTGAGCCAGCTCCATTTCTCCCCAGAGTCTGGGATGTGTCCACAAGTGACCCCTGTGAGGACATGGAGAAGTCTTTGTTCCTCTCTCATTTTGCATTGGTTGCTCTTCAGTGACTTTGAACCCTGCCTGAGCTGGCCTGCTGGGATATGATGATGTACAGTGTCACTGGTACTGCAGTCTAAACAGGACATTTCTATAGGTATCCTGAGACCCAGAGAGCTGCCCAGCACAGACCAGGAGAAACTACTGGCTCACAAACTCAAGCAACCTGTGTGCACATTATCCTCTTGACCTTTTACCTACAAATGGTCTACACCAATGAAGCACTGAGTGGAATAGAAGTCCTCATATTGACAACTCGCCGTCAAACATGCAGGACTCAGATGTGCACCAGCAATGAGTTTTCATCATTTGTTCAAGCAATATGCCAGGGTTTGCTTGTGCTACAGGATTGTCAATTAGAACCTGATTGATACAGGAGACAATAGCTCATGGGCTTACTTCCTGAGCAGATGGGAGGCAATATTTTAATTGAATCATAGAAATGCCCAGTAATCTAAAGGTCTTGCTAAAGAAGTACTCTCCTGTCTTCTGGAAGCCCATGCGCAGGTAGAGAGTCAGAGCATCCTGCTGTACTATGCTAGTTTCAAGGACAACCTCACTGTAGCCCTGAGTCCTCGCAAACTGGAGGACAGTCATGACCAGGGCTTTCCCTAGTCCTTCACCTCGGTGCTCCAAGGCCACAGAGAGGTGAAACAGCTGCAGTTGCTTCCTCCCTGGGGGGGAATCCTCCACTGGCAGAGCGCCCACTATGCCTGCCACCTGCCCCCCAGACTCAGCCACCCAAAAGCAGGAACCACGGGCCCTCAGATAGGATTTGGTGATGTCAGCAAGGTCTGTCTGCAAACACATGACCACATACTTTCTCCAAGGCTGTCTGGCCAACAGCCAGAGGAAAAGTAGGAGGGTGACATTAGATCCAAGAGCCAGGAGCCAAGAGCCAGAGACCAGGAGTAAGGCGATGGGCACCCCAAGAAAGAGCAGGAATGTTTGTGGCATCTTCAGCCCAAGGCGGAATGTGGCAGGGACATGCTCGAACATCCCTTGGGAGAACAAGTCCAGGACCCTCTTGCGGTCAGTCTCCTGGTATTTTCGGATGTGATGAGGTGCCATTGGGAGACTATGTGTCTTCAGTTTTCACAATGACAGGTAAACTTTCATACACGCCTTCCCTACAGCTCTGGAAGAGAGGAAAAAATCATGTGATTGTCCCTGATATCCCCAGAACTTAGGATACAGCTCAAGTGTGTATCAATTTTTGTAATAAATTTAGTTATTCTAATTAGGTATATATGACATCACAATGCATTTTGATTCATTCTACACAAATGTAGCACAATTTTTTATTTCTCTGGTTGTACATGATGTAGCTTCGCACCATATGTGCAGTCATACATGTCCCTAGGGTCATGATGTCCTTCACATTCCACCTTCTTTCTTGCCCCCATACCACCTTTCCATCCTCATCCCTTTTTGCCCTATCAGATTCCCTCCATTTTTTCCATCACCCCCATTATGGAGCAACATTCACTTATCATGAAGAACATTCAGGCTTTGGTGTTGAGGGATTGGCTTACTTTGCTTAGCATGATATTCTCCAACTATTTACTTGCAAAGGCCATAATTTCATTCTCTTTTAATGCTGACTGGTATTCCATCATGTATATCCACCACAGTTTCTTTATCCATTGATCTATTGAAGGGCATATAGTTTGGATCCACAGTTTAGCTAATGTGAATTGAGCTGCTATAAACATTGATGCGGCTGAGTCTCTATAGTAGGCTGATTTTAAGTCCTTTGGGTATAAGTCCAGGACTGGGATACTTGGGTCAAATGGTAGTTCAATTCCAGGTTTTCTAAGGAATTTCCATACTGCTTTTAAGTACGGAAATTCCTTAGAAAACCTGGAATTGAACTACCAAATTGGTTCCACCAATTTTCAGTCCCTCCAGGAATGTATGACTGTCTCTTTTCCTCGACATCCTCACCAACTCAATTTTTTGTGTGTGTGACTTTACTGTGGCCAAAAAAGCTTCAGGCCATCAGAACTGGGAACAGGTGTAGGGATCAGACACATTTGACTAGAACCCCAATTTCCCCCATTTCTAACTGTGTGTCTTGGGTATGTCACATAACTGCTCTTAGTCTGTGTCTTCACCTACATATTAGGGTTTAATAACATTGCCCCTCTAGGGTTGTTTTGAATGTTAACACCCTGGTGAATATAATGAACTGATATATATATAGTTCCTTCCTCTTCAGCCTATTTCCCTTTTAGGGCTCTTTAAACTGATTGGTAAATGCAGATGACACCCTTTAAGAATCATTATTATGTGCCCAGGCCTTTGGGCCCTACCAAAGTTCTAAATCTTGCAGGATTCTTTTTCCAAAGCAGAAGATTCAGTGAAGCCTCCTTTCCCCAATGCTAAGGATTAGGCTGCTAAGAAGACAAAGGGCCAAGTGAAGCCTTGAGACTTCAAAAGTTGTGAGACTCCATTTCTACACTGAGACGGACCCCCAACCTTACACCCCAGTCCACTCACCTGCTTCTTCAGAGCTAAGAGTGTTCAGGGAAGCCTCAGACCTCAGCCTCCAACGGACATCCAGGAGAGACTGTCTGAGACCTGCCCACCTGTGGGTAGCACATATGGACTGTCACTTATTTGCAGAGTCATGAAAGTTGCACAATCAGAAATCCCCAAGGGCAAAGTACTAAAGTGTAACAAGCAGAGGGCCCAAGTCCATTCACCTTCCTGAAGACTGGGAAACAAACCTGTGGGGTCAGCAGGATCTCGACCAGCACAGGCTCCTCACCTTAGGAGGCCTGGCACCCCTCTCCTGTTCCCTTCAGGCTACAGCATCTCCCACCCAGCACACCTGGGCCTCTCTGAGGTCCACCCAGGTCCTATTCCACACCTGCTAGGAGTCTGGGGACTGTGCCATTCAGCCTGGGCTCTCTCATCACAGGCAATAGCTCAGGTCTCTGGCTCAGCAACAAGGTACTTACAGCTGGTCTTCTCCCGCCTCAGCTTTACTGGGCCAGGTAAACTCCATCCTCCTTGGCCCCTCCTCCCTTCCCTCCATTCACTCAGCAAAGCTTTTGCCGCAGCTTCTACTCTATAGCTGTCCCTTTCCAGTAGTCAACAGTGCTTCACATCCAGGTGACAGGCTCCCAACGAGGGGGATGCTGGGTGCTCTGGTGGTTGCTCGGGGTTGGAGCCAGCAGACTTCCTGCATATTTCAGCTGTGAAGTGCCAAACTAAGACAGATAAGTGGAAGTCAGAAAAACAAAATCCTTCTCCATGGAACATTATGACCCCTTTGGAAGAGATTTTCCTTCTAAACGATGTGGAGCTCCACTGCCCAGGAGCTCAATCTCTGTCATGTGACTTTACCTTGCAGAGCAGTAAAGTCCCTTATTTTCTTCCTCTTTGATTTCTCAGCAATGTTACACTAGAAGCAAGCATTGGCTAGACGTATTTGACTCATTTTATTCATATATATATATATATGAATCAAACCCAGTGCCTCACACATGCTAGGCCAGTGTGCTACCACTGAGCCACAGACCTGGTCTCTATTTCATTCATTTTTATTTTGGGTCCAGGACTAATGGATATTCAGGATGAGCAGGGATGTGGCTGAGGAGGGGTCTTAGATCCCAGGAGTTCCCCAGGAGCATTAGGTATCTGGGAGATGGCTAGATGCCCTCACAGGAGTGACTGGCTAGGAGGAGGAGGCAGACTCTTGGACTGCTGGGAGAGAGGATTTCATCCCAGGCACACACTTGGTCAGAGACCTAAAGAGATGCTGGCCTCTCCAGGGAGAAAAAGGAGCATCTCAAGCTGAATTGACAGAAGCTTTTCAACACTAACACAGAACAAAGGCACAGATTTAAGGCGAAGAAGACATGATTGCCCAGGGAGGGAGTGGCTGAGGGCAGCATGGGCTTAGCCATACAAGGTCCACAGCCATGTTATGTAGCATGAACTGTACTATAGGAGGAAGGGAGACCAGAGATAGGATTGTAGCTTGGGAATGAGATGATCCATGTGAGTGTCTGTGTGAGAGAGTGGGAGGAGGGAGGGAGGGAGGGAGGGAGGGAGGGAGAGAGAGAGAGAGAGAGAGAGAGAGAGAGAGAGAGAGAGAGAAATGATAGCAGAAACTCCCAGATCAAATGCAGACTCTGAGCTAAAAAAGGTCTCCCAGATAGAGGTTTGCAGGTTGCTAACTAGAGCACCTGGCCAAGGAGGGCTCACGAGAACTTAACCAAGCCTACAGGCATTGCCAAGTCCAGAGCCCTGGCTCAGAACTGGGTCTGGCCAAGGAGAGGCATTCATTTCTCACTTGCTCAAAGGCATTGTTTTCCCTGCTTCCCATTATCTGCATGGCTTGAAGAGGGAACCTTGATTGGTGTATATTAAGGAGGCTTCTGGGCCCACAGAGGCCCAGGAAATGTACTGGTGGCTTGAGTTCCATGATGTGAACAAGACAGTGAGACCTGGACCCTAGAGGGCAGATATGGAGGAAAATAGATTGACTCAAATAGGAATGAACAGAGAGAAGGGGTGAAATATGATGGGCAGGATTTTGTTGAAAAGATCTAGGAGGATGATAGGGAGAAGCCAGATATGGAAAGATCAGAAAATCCCTGAAGGGGCTACCTGCAGTGTCCTCATGGAGATGCAGGTTGTTGGAGAGCAGCAGCTGTAGTTCAGGACCCCTACTGGAGGCTGCTGAGTTTCCAGATGTCTGACACACGATCAGAACTCAAGATGAACATTCACCTTTGATTCTGAGAATTGTATGGCTGTTGACCACATGCTTCTCAGAACAGTTACAGACAATAACCTGATCCACCAACACTTGAATGTCAGCAAAACGTGAACTGGGATTCTGAAGGGGGAAGAGAGGGGAATGGTCCTATTGAGAGACAGTAAATATCAACCAGCAAGAAAACCAAGTCAAGGTGAGGAGGCTTAGGCACTGTCCCTGTCCTCTGTCTCTCCATATGCATGGTGGTTCTGTGTCTTCAATAAAACTATGTGGTCTCAGAGTCTCAGGGTGATCTGAAGATGCATCGACCTCTTGACTTTTCTGCTACTGTGTGTGAAGCATCAGCTCCCTCCTAAGCTTGACCTCATCCATGGCAGATCTCCCCCAGCTAAGATGGAAGCTGTAGGTATCCTTGCTCACCACCAGAGGAAAGAGGATGGCTTAGGGCCCAGCTCTGCCAGTGCGTTTTCAGCTTCCATCACTGAAACAGAACACCTGAGACATTAATTTACATAGAGAAAAGGCATATTTGGGCTCAGTTCTATTCCATGCTTGGTTGGACTCATTACTTTTAGTTCTCTCATAGAGGAGCAGGAGGGCAATGGCAGGGAGCTGATGGTGGAGAGTACTGCTCCCTGGATGGAGAGAAAGAAGGAGATTAAGAAGACAGAGGCTGGCATTCCACATCAACCACTGAGGGTACCATCCCAGACCCTGAAGGTCTCCACTAGGCCTCACCTCTTAAGGGTCCCTCCTCCATACAGTAGCACCACCACAAACTTCAATGATATGGGTCCCTGATAGAATGGGAGGACCCCATGAGCCTAAGGAACCAGCACCTCAATGCAGATGCAGGGACACTGTGAGCCCAGGGCCTAAGGGATCACATCACTGTGACCACTACCTAGAAACACAGGCACCAAACTGGGTGCCCTGCAAGAAGCATGAGTTGAAGGTCCACCTGGAACACTGTGCATATGCGACCTGTGAAGAAGAGAAGTCCCAATATTCTGATCTGAGCCCACTCTGCACTATCTCTGGTCATGCTGGGTATGGGATAGGCAGGAGTGAGAGGTGAAGAGTGGTGATGAGGGCTGATGTGGAACGAGTGAGGAATAACTCAAAGAGCAGGTCATAAGTTGGAGACCTGTGGACTCTCCATGAATTGCTCATTGATTTCTGAAAAAAATGACATGATTTGTGTCATGTAGTTTCATTGG